GAGGTAGAGTTGCAGACTTACACATTTTTGTGCTTAGGTTTCATTTATACAATGATCAAATACCCATCCCTCCACCGGTGCCCATTTCCCACCGCCACGGATCCCAGTATCCCTCCCACCCCCCATCTCCCCCATCCCACCCTGCCTCTGTGGCAGGGCATTCCCTTTTGTTCTCTCTCTCTTATTGGGTGTTGTGATTTGCAAAAGAGGCAATGGGTGACAATCATGTTTAGTCTACAGTCTAAGCTGCGCACATTTAAATGTAATTTATTTCACAGGACTTCCTGAATAATTAATTTTCATCAAAAAAGGGAAGATGTTACAACAAATACCACAGAAACATAGTAAGTCTAAAGAGATTGATGTGATCAATTTTTTGCCACTGAGCTGGAGAACCTAAAAATGGTGGGATTTTTAGAATAATGAGACCTCCCTGTACTGAATCAGAAGGAAATAGAACAATCACAAGTAAGAAAATTTAAACAGGAATAAAAAATCTCCCTCAAATATGAGAACCATATTCTGCCATATCATCAAATACATTCTATCTATCCTTCCAAATTCTTTCAGAAAGTCAAAGAAAAAAGTTTTCCCTAATGTTTTTCAAAAGACCAATATTATCCTAGCACCAAAATCAGAAGCACAGCGTGTAAGGCGTTTGTTTGCCTTGCACGAAGCCAACCGGGGTTCGATTCCTCCACCTCTCTTGGAGAGCCCAGCAAGCTACCGAGTATCCTGCCCACACGGCAAAGCCTGGCAAGCTCCCCATGACGTATTCAGTATGCCAAACATAGTAACAGCGGGTCTCACAATTTGTTGTGAGACATTACTGGTGCCCGCTCAAGCAAATGGATGAACAACGGGAGAACACTGCTACAGTGCTACAGTGCAGACCAATAACCTGGATGAAGATAGCTGTAAAGATTCTCAATAAAATCTTGTAAACTGAATTCAGTAATACATCACTACAATCATACACCACGATCTAATAGGATTCATTTTATGGATAAAAAAATGATTCAATGTATGTAAATAAATTAGTCAGATATACTGTATAAGCAGTAGTAATGCTAAAATTATGTGATCAGATCAAGAGTAAGATTTTGACAAGATTTATTCACAATAAAGGTAAAGGTAAAGGTAAAGGCCCTCCCGTTGATCGTCGATTTGCTCGAGCGGGCCCAGTAACATCTCCATTGGAGACTTTGTTGTTACTGTGTCTGGCATATCGAATACTCTCGGTAGCTTGCCGGGCTCTCCGAGAGGGGCGGAGGAATCGAACTCGGGTCGGCCATGTTATTCACAATAAAAAGTCAACAAAATGGAGATAGAAGGAATTTATCTTCATATAGTAAGGGTCATATATATATGTATATATATATAAAGCAAGTCAAGTACAATTTCAATCTCACTATTAAACATAGCACTACAAATCCTAAACACAGCAAGTAAAAAAGGAGAAGAAATTAAAAGGGTTCAAACTGTTGGAGTTAACCATCACTATTTTCAGATGATATCACAGATAATATCTTACAGAGATGAACTGATATAACATAAGGATACCGATGGGCACTTTGGAGGTAATTCAATTAAGAAACTGTATCCATAAAAACAATAAATGCTAACACTATAATAGTTGTGACCTAAACTACAAGAATTCAATTTAAAACTAAATGACTTTTCCAAATGATGCAGGAGAGATGATGACAAGTCTCCAAGTTCATCCATATAGATCTCAGGTTCTTTCTTTCTTGAAAATATTGAGTAATGAAGATACTCAGATTAATAGCTAGAAATAGAAAAGTTTAAGACACTCTCAGATCAGGGAAGAATTTAATATAGGAATAAGTATGCTTCATTTTATGGGTTTTTAAAGGAAGACTAGGTTTTTGTGTTTTTTATCAAACAAAGTATCAGAGGATTCCTATTTATTTCCGAGAGATATTTTGTTAATTTAGAATCTATTTGTCTTGCGAAAATAAGGTTAACATCTTTTATTTCCACTTAGACTTGTGGGGACAGTTTATTTAAGAAATTTTAGAATATATATATTTGACCATCTGCCCAGGAATAACCCATTATCTTCTTAGTCTTGTGAACTCAAGGCTTAAAGGCAGAATTTACAGCCTTCGAAAATGGTAAACTTCCTTAGCTTCAGAGAGAACCCAGAAAATTGCAGGAATGTAAGATGGGAACAGCTAAAACGGAGTTGTTTACAGCAATGCGGAAAAGGAAACTAAGGAAGAAGAAAGGATGAAGAAAGGAAGAAAACAACAGAAGAAAAGAGTGAGAAGAGGGAAGACCATGTGCTGATGGAACAGAGATTAGAATTATCTGTCACAATCCAAGAAATGCCTGGGAGCCTCCAGAAGTCAGACTAGGTGAGAAAGAATTTTTTCTTTGATTTTTCCTTTTTCCATTTAACCAAGAGGAAGTTTCCTCTTGACCCCTCGATTTGTGACTTCTATTTTCCAGATTTCTCAAAATATACATTTCTGATCTTTTTTTTTCCTACCAAAATTATAGCAACTTGCTATGGCAACTACAAACTATTAACATATGGTGAGACCCAAATCTGAAGGAAAATAGTTTGGGTGATAAAGTCCTCTAACTAGTTTAGAAAATCAGACCTTAGGCATCCCATGCTAGAAGTTCATAAAAATCGGTCTTAAACTCTAAGTAATGGGCCTGGTACTGAATATGGAGTACCTTCCCTATGGTGATTCAAATGGGCACATTGATCTCTTTTTTTAATTGAATCTCTTTTTTTTAATTATGAACTGTGAGATACATAGTTACAAAGCTGTTCTTGATAGAGTTTCAGTCATACAATGTTCCTACACCCATCCCTCTACCAATGTGCATTTCCCACCACCAATGTCCCCAGTTACCTCCCGCCACCCACTCTCATGCCACCCTATCTTTGTGGCAGGCACTTTCCTTCTTTCCCTCTCTCCCTCTCTCCTTTTAGGCATTATGGTCTGGAATACAGTTGCTGAGAGGTTATCATGTTTGTTCCTTTACCTACTTTCAGCACACAGTTATTATCCAGTGATCATTTCCAACTCTTTTTTCATTGTGGCCACATTCAACTTTAGGTAAGATACCAACCCGTGATTTCTGTCAGCATGAAATCTGGGAACAGCAGAATGAAATGCCTGCTCCCTCTGTTCAAGAGGATAAGGGCTCTTTTGAAGGAATAAGGCACCAAGAATAATCACACAATGTAGGGCTTAAAGTTCTTGGAGAAGCTACAGTAAGGTCCATGGGGTTGGCTTCAGAATGAGCAGTCAAATGGACAGCTATATTAGAGGCAATGCACCTTTTCCCTGTAACAACAGAAGAATAAATCCCTTACCCAGAGCCTCAGGAAAGCTTATTACTTCCATAAAATATTTTTTCTTTCCCTCTCACAGTTTGGCAAAGATTAAAAACAGAAGATAAATTGTAGTTCTTTGCTTGTTTTTCTGTGTGTGAACAAAAAGTATTCTCCAAAGATTTAATTTAGAAAACAAGCAATGTTTCTGAAATAACTGTAAAATCTGAAGTTTAGTATAGAATCATAATTTGGAGGGATGCACAGAGGACTTGCAGAATTACTAATTAAAGAAATTGACTAAGATGGAATCATATTTCCCTGAAATGGTTTTGAATCATCAAATCTGGGGCCTGGAGAGGGAACACAAGAGATCATTTTGTCATCTCCGAGCTCAAATGCTAACCCAGAAAAATCCTTATCTGTTGTTTCCCATAAACCTCCAGGAAAGAAAATAATTCTCATTCTCCCAGTTCTCATTCTTGTGTTCTCCTTGACAGCATGACTAGTTAATGAATCAGGGTGTCCACATTCAGTAAGCATTCATTTAGCACTCAGTTCAGAATTAATTGGAAGAAATAAGACTGCTTGGCATAAATTGGGCAGGTGGAAGAGAGATAATTCTGGAGCTTCAACTGGTAAGTTCTCCAGACTTTGTCCTAGATTATACTCCCTTCTTTTATCACTTTATTATCCTACTCATTCTTTATATAAGTCCTCTTCGTATAAAGCTAAAGTAAAATATTACTTATTTCCCATGTTTGTTTGGCCCTCCCGTTGATCGTCGATTTGCTCGAGCGGGCCCAGTAACGTCTCCACTGGAGACCTTGTTGTTACTGTGTCTGGCATATCGAATACTCTCGGTAGCTTGCCGGGCTGTCCGAGAGGGGCAGAGGAATCGAACTCGGGTCGGCCGTGTTGGCCGCTTGTAAGGCGAACGCCCTACCCGCTGTGCTATCGCTCAGGGCGTTCGCCTTACAAGCGGCCAACACGGCCGACCCGAGTTCGATTCCTCCGCCCCTCTCGGAGAGCCCGGCAAGCTACCGAGAGTATTCGATATGCCAGACACAGTAACAACAAGGTCTCCAGTGGAGACGTTACTGGGCCCGCTCGAGCAAATCGACGATCAACGGGAGGGCCTTACCTTTACCCATGTTTAGTGAGGTTTCAAAAAAGAGTATGAGCTTGATATCATACTTGCCCAATATTTAAAGACTAGCTTTACCTTTTATTAGCTGTGTGCTATGTTCCTCATATCTCCTAGAAAATTTTCTATAAAATGAGTGAGAAAATTTTCTCATATCTCCTAGAAAATTTTCTAGAAAATGAGTGAGAAAATTTTCTGGAAAATGAGAGGAAAATGTCAGAAATAAATTTGTGGAAATCATAGTTAACTTACAAAATTTGATGGGAAAATATTTAATATTATTTTATTCTTTTGGTTTCATAATCATACCCAGAAATTCTTAGTCTCAATATGTGGGATCATGCCCATTAGCACTCAGAGGAACATAAATTTCTAGGTCTGGAGCCCCAATCTCCATGTGATCTAGTGCTTTGAGATATTTCTCTGTCCCTTCATGTATAATAAAAAATTCATTGCTATTGTTGAAAGAATTTCATTGACTGTAAAGCTCTGCATAAATTTCAGGAATCCCTTTCTCCCTTAAAATTTTTCATTGTAGTGCTCGCTTTGGCAGCACATATACTAAAATTGGAACGATACCGAGAAGATTAGCATAACCCCTGTGCAAGGATGACACGCAAATTCTTGAAGCATTTCATATTTTTAATGAATCTGTATTTTCTCAACCCCCCCAAAAAATTTTTTCATTGTAATCCTGTGAAACTTATGAACAGAACTTAGTCTTAACACAGATTTTAGATATAAACATAATAGAGTTTTTCTTCTCCCATTATTGCCCAACTACTCAGCTCTTGCCCCAGTAAGACATCTTATCTTGCTCCCAAAGGCCAGTAAAGGCAGTGATGATCTGTTTATGGGACAGAGAAAATTCACACATATTCAGAATCTAAATTATAGAGGGATAAAGTAGCTATACCACCAACCTTCTACCTGACAAGACTCTTTACTCTTTGCAAGACTCTTTACAACTGATCAGATAGCTTTGGATAATATCAAAAAGACCCATGCTTCAGCTACATGCAAAAAAAAATGGCCTCAGAACTCTATCTAACACAATGTACAAAAGTAAGATCAAAATGGATTAAAAACCTCAACATCAGACTGGAATTCATAAGGTACATTGAACACAAGGTTGGCATAACCCTCCACGACATTGAAGCTAACAGTATCTTCAAAGATGACATGCCACTGGCCAAGCAAGTGAAAACAGAGATAGACAAATGGGACTATCTTAAACTAAGAAGCTTCTGCACTTCAAAAGAAACATTGATCAAAATAAAAAGACAGTCTACAGAATGGGAAAGGATATTTGCCCAATACCCATCCGACAAGGGGTTGATATAAAGGATATACAAAGTACTGGTTCAACTCCACAAGAAAAAACATCCAACTCCATCAAAAAATGGGGCGACGAAATGAACAGAAACTTTCTCAGAGAAGAAATCTGAATGGCAAAAAGGCACATGAGAAAATGCTCTACATTATTAATCATCAGGGAGATGCAGATCAAAACCACAATGAGATATCATCTCACACCATAGAGACTGGCACCCATCCAAAAGACCAAAAGCAACCGGTGTTGGCATGGATGTGGCAAGAAAGGGACTCTCCTTCACTGCTGGTGTGAATGCCAACTGGTTCAGCCCTTTTGGAAAACAGTATGTACGATTCTAAAAAAATTAGAAATTGAGCTTCCATTTGACCCAGCAATAACACTCCTGGGAATATATCCCAGAGAGGCAAAAAAGTACAGTCAAAGTGACATCTGCACTTCTATGTTCTCTTTATTTCCAAGTCCACACAGATTATTTCCAGAAATTTACTTTGTCTTTAAATAAGATAAATATGAAGCTGTAAGGAAAAAAATTAAACTAATAAAATTGCTTTTTGAAATGTTCAAATGAATACATTTACATTTCCTATGGCTACTATACACTTGCAGATCATTCTTAAATCAGTGTATACTTGAAATAATAGAATATACAGATATAAGACAAAGTTATAACTGCTGCCTTCAGAGAGCCTTTGGACATACATAATTCACCATTATAGTGATACCTATATTGAGAGCTCTAAGTGTTAGATAAAATACTACCATGAAAAGCATTGTGTCAGCAGCAAATCACTCTATAAATATTGCTTCTATCACTGAGTCTTCCTTCTATGACACCTCAATAATTTCTTCATCCTGGTCTTTCTTCCATGTTGCTGTAATTCTTTCATAGCAATAAATTGTACTTCTTACTATTAACTCATTGTATATCAGTCTCTGACTAAAGTGCAAAATAGTTGAAGACAATAAACTCACTGTTCTTTTTCTGTATCCTCACAATGCCCAAATTAACATCATGCTAAATAAATTTTCCATAGATGTGAAAAAATTAAAGAATCAATGGTTTTATCATACACTGTTATTCAAACTACAAATGGCATGTCCATTTTTGAAAACAGTTTAGCTATATATTAACAATGAGCATGATGAACATGTTAGATCTTATAATATAACAATGCTATACCTATGTGTTAACCCTATAGGAGTGTGTACCTATATGCAGCAAAAAAGAAACATACACACCCAAACAAAACTTGTCAACAGGAACATGGGGAAAATGTTCCTTCTCACTGATTATCACTGTCACTGTCCTCCCGTTGTTCATAGATTTGCTCAGGAGGACACCAGTAACGTCTCACAACAAATTGTGAGACTTGTTGCTACTGTTTTTGGCGTATGGAATACATCACGGGGAGCTTTCCAGGCTTTGCTGTGCGGGCGAGATATTCTCGGTAGCTTGCAGGGCTCTCCGAGAGGAACGGAGGAATCGAACCCAGGTGGACCATGTTGGCCACGTGCAAGGCAAATGCCTTGCCCACTGTGCTATCGCTCCAGCCCTCACTGATTATCAAGGAAATACAAACTCGAACAGTAATGAGCTATCACTTTCCCTGACAATGTCCTGGATCAGACGAGGCAGAAATAATAAGTGCTGATAGGGATGTGGTGAAGAGGAACATGGAATGGAACTGGAAGGAATCACACTAAATGAAGTATGACAGAGAAAAAGTAAACAAGTGATCTTATCATATATGTCATATGAAGAAGCAAAACAGAATATACTGTATCCAATGAAAACACTTAGACTCATCACAGGATTGAGTTCTTTAAGGAGGGGATTTAATAAGCTGTAGTGGAAGGTTATTGACACTTTGTTATCGGTTATGGTGTTGTAGCATTGTATCCCTAAGACATGCAAATATATACATTCTTGTAAATTAAGTTTACCTTAATAAAATAATAAAATAATCACAATCACGATCATTCTGTTGTTCATCGATTGCCTCAAGCAGGCACCAGTAACGTCTCCGTTGTCCTAGCCCTGAGATTTTTTAAAAAGTGCGATATTCAAGGCTCTTTGAGGTTTAGGAGAATGAGACCCATCATTGTTACTGGTATTTGGCATACTGGGTACACCACGGGGAGTTTGCCAGACTTTGCTGTGTGAGCAGGTTACATCCTGTAGCCTGCCAGGTTGTCCAAAGGAAGAATGAGATAATTAGATGTTGCACTGCCATGAATGCGGCTGCACACTTCCGAGAGCTGGGTTTTATAGTCTCTGGGTCTTGGCTGTTGATGGGATTACACGGCGCCAGGGGGCCAATTGGTGGGTGTGACCCCTGCCTACTGGAAGATGGAGGATCTGGGTGGAGGATGCTCAGCTCCGATCCGAGCAGGTTGGGAGATCTCAGCCCCGGGACCCACATGCAGGTACTGGCAGAGGAACAAAGGCATGTGGGATGAGATCTCCCAGCCTGCTCGGATCGGAGCTGAGCATCCTCCACCCAGATCCTCCATCTTCCAGTAGGCAGGGGTCACACCCACCAATAAAATAATAGTTTTAAAAATATCCTTAAACACTATGTATAAAAGCCATAAACTAAACATGAATCCAATTGCCATCTAGTTATCCGGTTAAATATTTATTTAAGGAATATCACAGCAGTTAGAGTATATAAACTATGACTGTCTGCAATAATATAAAGAAATCTTATAAAAGCATGCTGAGCAAGAGAAAATAGATAAATACTGTATTATGTCCTTTGTATAAAATTTGTAAATAGGTAAAAGTGTTAGAAATCAGGATATTTGTTATTCTTTGGAATAACAATTGAGTGTTCTAAAAGGAGCTTTCAGGTGTTTCCACGTTCTGTATTGTTGGTATTGTGTCCACATGACCCTATTTCAAATGACAATGTACAGGTTCAACTATGTCATCTTCTATATCTTAAATGCAACATTAAAAGAATTTCAGGGATCAGTGCTGTTATGTCAGAATGATACGTATAGACAGGAAGGAAGGAAGGAAGGAAGGAAGGAAGGAAGGAAGGAAGGAAGGAAGGCAGGCAGGCAGGCAGGCAAGGAGGAAGGGAGGGAGGGAGGGAGGGAGGGAGGGAGGAAAGAAGGAAGGAAGGAAGGAAGGAAGGAAGGAAATAGAAAGATAGGAATAGGTATGCATATATCCTCTAGTACCAGAATTCTCGGCAAGTGTTTACATTGTTCGTGCTATTTCTACAAATAGGATGACCTTCATATAAAGGATCTCTGGTTAATTACTCCATGATTAAGTGAAATGTGATATAGTTCTCCTTCTTTTGCAATCAAGAAACCAGCTCCCGGAATGCGGCCATGCGACATCTAATTATCTCATTCTTACTTTGGACAAACTGGCAGGCTACAGGATGTAACCTGCTCACACTGCAGAGTCTGGCAAACTCCCCATGGCGTACCCTATATGCCAAATACCAGTAACAATGATGGGTCTCATTCTCCTAACCTTGAAAGAGCCTTGAATATGGCACTTTTTAAAAAATCTCAGGGCTAGGATGAAGGAGACATTACTGGGGCCTGCTCGAGGCAATCGACGAACAACAGGATGGTCGTGATCGTGAATTAATGTATTTAGAACAATATTATATTTTGGTGTGTGTGCATTATTGCTTTTATCATTTTTTTCTTGAATTGAAAACTGGTGTTTTTAATTACAAAGATCTAATTTCTTTGACTTGTAGTAAAATGATAGTGATATGCAGAGAATTTTTGAACTTTTGCATATGCATTTGTGTGTTAATTATAAAAGACCAACGCTTTTTCCTAACTAACTTTCATGTTCTTCTCTTTTGATTTCTGATCAAATTTCTATTACTTAGGCTTTTTATTCTTTGAAGGAGCTTTCAGAGAGTTCCTCTTGCCTGTTAAACATCTATAAAGTTTCTCAGATACTAGATATGTGTGTACAGTATTTTACACATAAATGAATTAAAGCCTATCAACCCTGATTTTCAGCTACGTACCATATATCTTTTTGCTTCCACAATGGTCTTCATGCATCACAGATAATAATGATTATTACAGAGTACCTATCTCTTAGCTATCATAAGCACTAGACATTCCATAAATATTTGTTGAATTATCTTTCTTATTGATGGGAAATTCTCATTGAGAAAAATTAAAAGCCTGACCCAAGGTTAAAATATATAATATTTCAATTTTTCTATCACTCTCTCAAGAAAGACAATAGGCTAATTAGATGATATTTATTCTAAAAAAATCCCTGCTTTTTTTCACCCAAACCTTGTATTCTTATTGCTG